CGTTTACGTTTACGTTACGTTCTTCTTCTCTCTCTCTCTCTCTCTCTCTCTCTCTCTCTCTCTCTCTCTCTCTCTCGAGATAATTGGAACCAGTCCTCGAGAAGCGTCGTCCTCCCCTAGAATCTCGAAAGACGCGAACAGAAAAGTTTGGAACGAAAAACGGCGTAACGAAGCAAAACAACGATTTACTAGCAAAACTTCGATTCGCGACCGTTGGAATAAAATATTACCGATTTTTTACAAATTATCCTCGACCGAACTTTATATTCTTTCGCTACATTTCGACGATCCTGAATTACGAGAATTAATACCGTTTCGAAATAGTTTCTTCTCTGGTCGGAGGACGCGATCCAAAGTGTAACCGGACTCGTTTCCATTTAACGAGCACCGAGTTTCGCAACGAGATCGACAGATGGTCGTCCGCGAGATTGCACGAGAGCCCCGCCTTTTCTCGATCGCGATCCCAATTTAATCAAGGACGCGTCCTCGTTGATCAACCGCTAAGACGATTACACGCGACGACGATGTGCACGTTTCTCTCGTCGTAAATTGGAACGTCTTTGTATCTGCGATTGATCATTTTTCTCGAGCGTGGCGTTGAAGAAGAAGAAGAAGAAGAAAAGAAAGCAAAAAAGCGAGGAAATTTTAAAAAGAAAAGAAATTTCGGGGAACAGTGATGGGCTACGATCGCTTTGTCATTTATCTTTGCCCTTTTTGCTGCAACTCGGTTAACACGAGTATCGAGTCGCGTGTATACGGATAATAGTGGACAACCGTGATAAATTTTGACGCTTCATTTTTCTTCCTCTCTCGAAACCGTCACATTCTCCTACAACTATCGCGAGCGAATTAGAATTCCAACTGGAATTCCAATTTCTCTTTTCGATCGAAAGGAATCGCTCCGTCTCCTTTCTCGCGAGGCAAAAAGAAAAGAAGAAAAAAGGGCAGAAAGGTTGGAAAGAGGCCGTGGCAATTATGTTGCAAAACTGGCCGACGCGTGACTGAGCGAGATAAGATTGTGCCGTTTACGGTGGTCCGAGTCTATCTCGATATACGATTTACGAACGCTCCGTCCGCCTCGTTCGAACGAAAGAGAGAGCGAGAGAGAGAGAGAGAGAGAAAGAAAAAAGGAAGGGCCGATGCATCGCGGCGCATTGTATGCAAATCCGGAGCGACATCTCGCCGGGGATATCTCGCGTATCCGTCACGTTCCATTTCTTTGACGTTGATCGTTACAATTAAACCGCACCGGTGAAGATATCTCTCGCCATCCTTTCTTACAAATTCTCCTTCTCGTTTGTCGTATAATAAGACTAAACCGAAGAAAACCGAATACACGACGAATACAGATGAGAGAGAGAGAGAGAGAGAGAGAGAGAGAGAGAAGAGAGGTAATTTTATTGGAGCAAAAAGGTTAATCGACGCGCGCAGGATGGGCGAATGAAACGGCAATCAGAGCGTTGGCTCGTCGGGCAGGGTCGGTAATCATCGGGATTGCGATTCGTTGTTAAACGAATTTGGAAAGAGAATACGGGGACCAATTGTTCGCCGCTGCTCACGTTAAATACGCCAGCTAATTACCAATTAAGCGGTGTACACAAAGCTCCGTGGCGCGCGACAGATGTTGCCGTTTCCTCCATCCCTTCATTTACTCCGTATGCGCATAAATTAATGGAGGTGGGGAACGTTATTCGCCGATTCGTCTTTTTTCCCCCCTCTCCGACTCCCTTCGATCGATCGAAAATGCTCGGCCGAGTCGCGTCGAAACGAAATTTTGAAAATAGTCGAGAAGGATCGAGAGGAGGAGAGTGCGTTAGTGGAATTTAGGTGTAATCGGACGTCTGGCGGATTCCGGATGATGTCAAGAATTTGGCGAATGTCCGGGGAGGGTTGGAAGATTCCGGGGATCTTTGCGATCCCGATGACCCCGAGATATCTCTGGGTCCACGCTACGATCTTGAGGTTTCTAGAGTTTGCTCGCGGTTATCGGATTTTCAGGGGCCTCGATAGAACCGGAGTTATCTTACGTGGGATTACGTTGGAACAGGTTGATGATATATACGCGAAGGAACCATTGTATCTTGCGCGTCCGGGGATTACAACCGCTATATTTAATCGGTAACAATTAAATGACTTTCACGATAACAAAAATATCGATTATTAGTAATAGCCCGCCCCTCTCCTCTCCCGTATTATTAAATATCGAGGAATGCGAGAGAAAAAACGAGAGAGAGTCGAGAATTCGTTTATTCGAATTATAACTTTAACGACGTCCATTAAATTATTTTATTGGTCGCGCGGAATGTCGTTCTATTATTTCTATGATAAAATTTCGTAAGGATTATGGTAATTTAACAGCCGTGTCTTTTTTTTCTTTTTTCTTTTTCTTTTTTTTTTTTTCTACCGTTTTTTCGTTCTATCGTTCTGCAAATATTTCCAAACTTTAGAGAAAATTTATAATCATTCCGTAATCTATATCCGTACCGTAAATATCAAAATCGAAGATTAGTTCGTTGTAGAGTAATTGATAACGTTATTGCTCGTTTAACGGACAAACTAACGCGGCATTTAAACCGTTTCCAAGTAATACGATTATTCCATGTCTGGTGGCAAAGGCACAAAAGATATCCACCGTTCCCGCGCCGATTTTCATTTCAATGGAAGGATTATCGCGGCGCACCGCTAAATAAATAGATAAATAGAGAAGAGCTGGTTGGAAAAGATCGAAAACAAACGCGTAACGTTTGTCGCAACGAAAACAATTTCCATATCGAATTAAATCAATTATTCCTTTTCCCATCCTTTCTCGTTACTCTTCGATCAGGAAAAACATCTGCTTTATTATTTGGTATACATCTTCTTAATACGTAATACGATTTCGAGCGAACGAATTCTCCAAGATCATTTAGCTGGAAAATAATATCCGTCTTTTCCGATTGAAAAATACGATTGTTCTACTCGGTTCTTTGATATCGGGAAAAGAATTTTCTCGACGAGTTTCAGTTTATGCCCCGTTCCATATTTTCTCGAGAGAATACATTCGCTACTTTTACTTTTTTTTTTTTACATCCGGAATCTCGAGAATTCTTTTTTACACGTTCATTCCCCAAGAAGAAGTAGCCGATTCGATGGAGAAAAATTCGAAACGAATAATTTCATTTTAAACATCGAACTTCTTTTCGACTCGAAGAGAAAATCTAGCAGCCTGGATATTTTAAAAACGAAGGAAAAGTTTGAAAAATAGAAGGAAGAAGGGAGAAACGGAGAGGCGCTTTGAGAGCGACAGGGTTGGTTTTTCCGCTTACGTGGCCGCGCTTAATTTGCCCTTTTTGCCATCCCACCGTCTTGTCCGCGGTAAAAGCCGGCACCGGGAATCGGGAGTGAACTTTTCAATCTCGCCGCGGATTCTTCGCTTCCAATCTGCTCCCAATATCACCGGGGGTATTCGTCGGCTGCTTTCGAGTTCCTCCCTTGAATTCCAAAGGCCCCTCCCCCCCTCCCTTCACCCCCTTGATTTCGATGCGTCGAGTTTATCGAACGGATAGAGAATCTCGTCCCATATGCGCGTGTCTCTCCTTTTTTCCATATTCCATTCATCCATATATATATATATCCATATATGTGTGTGTGCGCGCGTATATATATATATCCGTTCATAAATATCGCGGGAAGAACGATCATTTCTCTCGTTTCGAATCTCTCGCGAACAAAAGCGAAGAAAGATCGATATTCGGAATCATTTGCCGTCGTTTTTTAATCGAGGTGGAAATTTGTCCGCGCGTTTGTCGATGGATGATAATTGTAAATTCATTCGTATTCGGAGGGCAGAGGACGAACGGGGCAAAAGTTCTCGTGATTTTTCGGGACGTTCGTTTCCAGCGGATTTATAGTTATGGCGTACTGCGCCATCTCCCTTTTTTCGTCCTTTTTCCAATGCCACCGGCAAGGGAATGCGATTCAGGGAAGGGAAAGAAATACGACGTTGGATTTTTTTGTCGCGTTTCCTATTTTTTTTTTTTTCGCTTCTTACGCGTTGTCATAACGGAGAAAAGGATGCTCGAGCCGATAAACGATCGATTCGAAATGCGTGACTTTCTCTTCCTTTTTTTTTTTTTTAAAAAGAAGAATATTTTTTAAAATCGGACATACGATCTACGTGGAGGACAATTTTTTTAAAATTACTTCTTCCGAACAAGGGACGAGAAGAGAAATTTATAAATATCCCCTATCCGGAATGCATAAGGTATTCGAAAGACGTTTTACCCGGTGGAAAATACTTGTACGAAAGTTGAATCGATAACGAGATATCACACGGTTCGTTAAAAAACATCGGTAATACACGGACGATGAATAATTCAGAAGGCGAAAAATAAGTTTCTAAAAAAAGGGCCGAGGTATAAAAAAATTTCAGATTAGAAAATTCCACGTAACGAGCTCGTTCGCTCGAGGCGCTAGATTGGAATCGGGATTGAATTTCACGATCTCGAGAAGCTAATTTTTGGTAACGACTCGAGGAGGGAACGTCGTAACTTTTATTTGGCGAGAAGACACGCGCGGCTCTCCTCTTCCCGTTCGTTTCATCGACCCGAGCGACTCTTCTTTTCCGCTTTAAATTCGCGCGTCGAACCGTGAATTATTATCGAAGGAAATTTCGGTAAGAAAGAGGCGACGTCACTCACTTATGTTCTTTTCCCTGTACTGTTGCAACGCGTCGCTGGTGAGGCAAGCGAGGACCAACCACAGGACGAAGCCGCACCTTCCCATTTCGACCTGCAAGCAGATACATCGATTAATTGCAACGTTCCACTTTTCCAACCTTCTCCTCTCCACAGCGTCCGATTTTACGCGCTCGAATTCGGCAGTCAAAGTTTTTCCTCGATCGATACTCGCGTGGATCGTTTCGAACAATGGAGCATTATCCCCGACAATGTCGCGCTGCTATTCCCGCCCCGGCAAACAAAAGCGGCCTACAATTCGCGCGCTGTGACTCTCCTCACCGGCAACAGATGTTGGTATTAACGCGAAATGGACTACGATCCTGCTGGCCTGTATAGCGATCGATCGCCGCAATGGTTTCGCGCCATTCACCATCGTTCGACGGATATCTCTCTCTCTCTGCCGCCCTGTCACGAATCAAAAGCGAGTCGATTCGATCCTGACCGCTGCCAATCGTCGATTGGCCCCTCGTTAACAATCGAAATTGTCTCCTAATCTCGAGTTAACGCGAGCGTAAAGTGGCCAGATTCCTTCGAACCGATTAACGGGGAGGAAGAAACTTTGCACTATCCGTTCGAGAAGAGAATCGTATTCGTTTCGAATATAGCGGGAGAAAAGGAAATCCACGGGAATGATAAATAGAGTAGCGGCGGCGTTTATCTCTCGGTTATTTCGCGGGCGAACGAGCAAAGGTTCGATCGCGTCCGAGGGATGGACGACTTTGTCAGCGCCAGCCTACGTCTCTCACCGAGGCTTATCCCATTCCCGGAAGATATCCCGGGAATCGAGATCTTCCCCATTTTTCCGAAATAAGGGAGAACACGGTCCGGCCGTGGTGGAAGCTCCGAGGTAAGAGGATTTGGAGAGAGTGGAACGTCACCTTGAGGAGGATCCTCGAGCAACGTTGGATCGATCGAGGCTGTATCTCGTTTCACGGTTAGCCGGATCTAAAATATTCGTAGCTCTTTTCATCGGGGACGAACGAAACGAGGATACAGCGCGGCGATGCATTTCGATCTTCCACTCGATCGATACCTCTTTCGCGTATCGTACGATACCACTTTCTCTGGAAACGTAGCATCGATATTTTCTTTCTATCACGTTTGTTTCTCACGAGATTCCTTGAATAAAGTTAGCGCTTGCCGAAGAAAGATGATTTACTTTTTTCCAACAACAGGCGTGTACTTGGTTATTTTTCAAATTTCTTTATTTAGATTAATTTGAACGGATTTTATCCCTTGAAACGATGAAAAATAAGACAGGAAGACGCGTTAACAGTTATTATAAGTGTAATTAAAAGGGAACGTGTTTAGAAGTTATAAACATCCTGTTTCGAGGAAAATTTTTTTTCCAAAAGCAAACTCGAATTGCGGAAAACGCGGCCGCTGACAAGATGAGCACGTCTTTGGTTAAAATAGAATTGACGAGATTTGTCACGATCCAGGTTAGACGATAACTTCGTATTTTCCTGCGAGTTCGGAAACAGCGATACACCGAATTGTTCGAAAATTCCTCCAACTGTAACTATTCGACGATGAGCGTTCCGTATCCAGACTAATCGTGGACAATAGTAGAAACTAACTTACTCCGCGATCTCGGCAAATTCGCGTCCAAAGTATTCGACGATATTTCTCGCGCGGCAAACGAATTCCTCCTCCTGGAGAAATTCTAAAAATCGTTTCGTCCAAACACGCGGAAACGCCGGGATTATCGAAACGGGATGGTGGCTCTTTTCCACGCGTGCATCCATTTCTCAAACCTTCCTCCTCGCGAAGAAGGGGAGAAAAAACACGTTCGACCCGGAATTCCGCGTCTCGAAGGAAAAACGAGCAACCGACCTGACGGGAATAGAAGGATTTGCGAGGGAATTTCCGGCCACAACCGGCCGAGTGATAATTAGGGCTGTTCGTCACGGAACAGGGAGAAGGGCGGCAAGATTCCCGCAAGAAAAGCCCAAGCAAACTCGGTCCCCAAGTAGCTTCTCCAGAGATTAAAGCCGCCGAGAAATTCGCTTCCATCCGAAACTTTGCGAACCTCGTTAACGATATTTGTACGCGAAGGGATCCCTCCTTTCCCGTTTTCGATATCGTTTTCGAAACGAAGAGACGAGCCTGTTGTTTTTCGTCTACGACGCGAAACATCATTAAATCGATCGTCGGACACCTCGTCCGAGCCAGAATATTCGATTAAGATGCGAGGCATTGTCCCCGAATTAACCTCGCCACTAATGAAATCATTTCGGAAAGTTTCAGCCTTTGGCGGCTACGTTTCGGTAAACTTTGCTAATCGCGTTATATACTTGCACGAGTATTCCGGTCACGTTGTCCCCGCTCTCGTAATCGCTTCCAGCAAGACGTTTCCAACGCGCACAGACGCGTTTCGTTTCGATTTTCGAGATGGCCGTTTTCCAAACTCGCCCGATAATAATGCGCGACACTCGATCGGTAATCCGTGTTTCCAGCCAAACGAACTTTGAGAATCTCGCGTCTCGAGAGAGGGGAGGAATAAACAGAAATAAGGAAGGGTAGGAGCGATAGCTGGGAGATTATTAATGGCGGGGCGAGAATTAAAGGGAGGGATAGAGGCGGAAGAAGATGAAAGTTGAATCACCGAGATGAACCACCTGAACGTTGCGTCGCTTCGTTTTCCGCGGTGTGTCTCCGGTCTTGATATTACTTCGCCGCTCTTATTGCTCTCGTCCCAACTCCCCCGCGCCATCGTCGCCTCCCATTGTGACCTCGCGCACGTGGAAAGTAATAAACGAGCGACACCCATCCCTTCTCCCTTTCTCGACCTTGCATCTCTACCCGCCGAATCTAATCCACGAAACTCTCCACTAATCGTATTCCTTTCGATCCTTGGGACTCTGGCTCGATATTATACGTATCGTGATTTTTTTCGTAAAGTAATTTGAAACGTTTAACCCTTTGCACTCGAGGCCAACGCACCCAACGTTCCGTTTTTTGACTAACTCAAAATGATTTCAGATATTTTGCGTATCTTTACGTACGAGGAAATTTGCGTGGAATATCAAAGTCTGTATTGTTGTTTCGCGTCTTTTCCTACTCCCTATCGTTAATTTCTTGACGAATACAAAATCAAACTCGTCTTTATTGACTCGTATTCCATGCTTGCAAAATTCAGAAACTTTGAAAATAATATTTCGATCGATCGTCAAACTCGAACTAACGCCGAAAACGTAGTTCACGATCACGATCTAATTTCAGATAGAAAAATCTAACCTAATTCGATGGTATATTATTCCACGCTTCGTAAGAATACGCTTAGGAATCTATTCGCGAAGCGATATTTAAAAAAATGAAATGAGCGCAAAAGGTTAAATCTGATTTCTCTCTTTCAAATACTTTGTAATTCGTTACATCTCTCTATTTCACGCGATTAAGGAGTTGTCGCTGTTAACTCCAACTCTCTAACTCTTTAATCCTTTGGTAAGAAAAAAAAAAAAATCTCATTCCCAAGATCAATCTATTTCTCTTTCTTTCTCAATTCTTCTAATAGAAGGATCGTCTGGAATTGTTCGGAAGAGCGCGGAGGCCGAGATGGTCGAAAGAGGCCGCGTCGACGTGTACTTACGAGGCTGGCGGGATAATGGAAAAAAGAGGGGTGAGAGGGCAGGTAAGAAAGGAGCGGAAAACGGGTTGAACGTGGCCGATATTTTATCCATTTTCCGTTCCCTTCGCAAATAGACCGCGAACGGGGGAGCAAACGCGTTCTCGTCGACGTGGCGAGATTCGAACGTGACGGGTGAGGAAACAAGGTAATACCGAACGCGTATTTTTCTTCTCATCCGTGGATGGCTCTCTCCGAGAAAAGTCTCGCGTATCGAGAACGCGTTTTCGTATGGAAATGATTCTGAAAAATGTCGGAGATCCTTCCGAATTCCGAACCGAATGTTTCCCTGGGAATCCGCTCCGAGCTTTTCTTTCCCATCCGCTTTATTGGAAAACGTTGGAACGAACGATCTTTCGCGGACGTGAAACTATCGATTTCTCGTTGGATAATTAGACGGGGATTGGTGCAACTTTGGATCCCAGTTTTGATAATTCGTGACCGATTCTCGTAGCCCCAACTTTAATCGAATCGCATCCAATTATCCCGCCTCTGTCGATCACCCGGCCGAATAATTACTCGTGAAAACGTTCGCTCGATTTCCGAGCCGCGCAACTGTTGGGACTCGATGTTTTCCAATCGGTTCCGGATATTAAATCCAGGGGCTGTCGTTCATCCACCGCCGTCAACCTGGCTTATTAATATTTTACAAAAGGAGACAAGATGATGAATTAAACCGCGCCAACGCCCCCGATTAATTTAAATCGTATTCCAAATTTCATTACGCCTCCCCACCTGTTTAATATCTCATTATATATCTATATTTACACGACAGTGTTCCCTGCCCCGATCGGTTAACTACCGCGAACGAAGCGAAAATGCTTCGACGCGAAAGCGAATCAAAAACGAAAGGTTGAAAGGCGAATAAAAGTAGCGATTGCGAGGTGAAATATTTACGAACCTTTCAAAATTCACGTACGAAAGAAAAGTGTACTCGTCTCGGCGGTTAATAGGCGCGGATCCATCCGTGGCCAATCTCTCGCCTTCGGTGAAATTTTAATCGGCGTAAACGAAACCTGTTCGAAAAGCGAATTTAACGAAGCGAGTGGAACCTCGAAACGATCAACCGCAACCGCAGAGAATTAAGTTTCGTTGCGCGCGATTCCGAAAAAAGGACGGAATTTACGCGGAAAAAAGGAAGGATCGATGGATCCTCTCGATCTCAAAAAGCGCGGTGGAGAGCGAGCGAAGAGGGAAGGAAGGAAAAAAAGGTAGGAGTGTAAGGGCTAAAAGCCACCTGTTGATCGATGAAAATCCACTCTCGCCTCGAGAGTTTGAGCGGAAAAACCGCGGGGGCAAGGGAGCACGGTGGAGGGTAACAGGGTATCAGAGGAGCGGTGGAGAATCCGCGGGGATAGAGGCATTTAATTAACCGACTGATCGATACACCTGTCCCGGGAGCTCACCTGGGCCGGGATTTCTCT